TTATGATATTTATACAGTTGCTGCAGTAGGCGTATAGAATTCTCACTACTCGAAGTTGTAAGCTGAGCAGTCCTTCCTGAACATCTCATTTCATATTGGTGATCATTGATTGTATTTCTGCACTACATCTGCATTACGCAACAGCTCCCCCTGTGGCTGGAATCTAGCATTACCTCCAGGCACTGAAATGGAAATGCCAAAAATACCTGTCTGTCTGTCTGTATGTATGTATGTCTAGAAAACAGCACTGAATGTTTACCGTGTATGTGTACATTGTGATCTGGCCTGAGTTGCCTTCGGAGTGAAAAGGGTGGAGTATAAATACTGTAAATAAATAAATACTCTAGCATCTTGACAACATTCTGACAACTTCTCAAATCCTATAATGGTTATTCTCTGATCTAATATTGAACTGTCATTCCTTATTTTAAATCAGACAGCCATCCATCCTGTAAATTCATCGCTAGATGAAACTTAACTACTCTAATCTTTATTGCATTAAACATCACATGGAATCAAATTTCCTAACCTGAAGCACAGTTTGGAACTCAGTTTGAATTTGCCTGTTCTTGAGAATGAGTTTAGGGAGAGAAAGGAGAACTGGTACACTGCATAAGTTCTGTTGTGGTTTGTTATTGTTTCTGATAGCCTTTAAATCGGTCTTGATAGTAGCAAACAAATTGAAACTGAATCCAAATAAGACTGAATCCTGGTCAGTCAAAAGGCGAAACAGGGCATAGGGTTACAATCTGTCTTGGATGGGGTTGTGCTCCCCCTAAAGTCACAGGTTCGTAGCTTGGGAGTGATAATGGATTCATTGGTGAACCTGTAACCCTAGGTTTCGGTGGTGGCTAGGGGATCTTTTGCACAATTAAAACTGTGAGCCAGCTGTGCCTGTACCTTGGGAAGTCAGACTTGGCCACTGTAGTCCACCATCCGGTATAGATTACTGCAACACGCTCCATGTGAAGACTGTTCAGAAGCATCGATTGGTCCAATGGGCAGCAGCCAGGTTGCTCTCCTGAGCAGCATACAAAAGAGGACATCCCTCCTGTTGTGCCAGCTCTACTGGCTGCCAGTCTTCTACTGAGCACAATTCAAGATGCTGGCTTTAGCCTATGAAGCCCTAAATCAGTGGTTCTCAACCTGGGGTCCTCAGATGTTTTTGGCCTACAACTCCCAGAAATCCCAGCTAGTTTACCAGCTGTTAGGATTTCTGGGAGTTGAAGGCTAAAAACATCTGGGGACCCCAGGTTGAGAACCACTGCCCTAAATGGTTCCGGTCCAGCTTACCTGTCCAAACCTATGAACCACCTTGGAGATTTGGATCGCCTGGGGAGGCCCTACTCTCAGTCCCGCCTTCCTCGCAAGTACGGCTGGTGTGGATGAGGGAAAGGACCTTCTCAGTGGTGGCCCCTTGGCTATAGCACTCCCTCCCTAATAGCATTAGATCAGCCACCTCCCTCCTAGCCTTCAGAAGGAAGGTAAAAACCTGGCTTTGAGATCAGGTTTTGGAGAATAGTGTAGTGAAATAACAGATTTGGGATATGTACAATGATTACATAAATGTCTTTGGCCTAATATGTATTAATCTTAATTTAATTTTAATTTTAATGTTACTGGAATTTTATGTGTTTTAAGGCATTGAATAATTGCTTATATGTAAGCCGCCTTGAGTCCCCTTTGGGGTAGAGAACGGCGGGGTATAAATAGGGTAAATAAATAATAATTTTCTGACTTTGGGCAATCCTATCACAGAGTTTTCTTGGCAAGATTTGTCTTTGACTTCCTTTGAGGTTGAGAGAATGTGATTTACCAAGGTCATCCTGTGATTTTTCACAGCTGAGTGAGGATTTGATTTCCCGAATCCTAGTTCGAGCGCTCAAATCAGTAGACCATGCTGGCCTTTACTAAGAACTCCTAAGTTCTGTAGATGTGAAAAATTGGATAGCTTTTCCCCCCCTCAATGGCCTTGGATTTGTATTTTCCTCTGTTCTCCCAGTAGAGCACTGCACAATTCCCAGGTCTAGTATAGTATCATGTGCAAATTGAGTCAGTAGGTGTTATGTAATCAAAAATGGAATTTTTAAAGGCTGTTTTTAAAGTTTCAGATAGGCTTTTTAGATTGCAATTTCCATGCTTTTAACAACATTATGTAGGCACAACTCAATGCTAGCTCTGCATAGCTTGTTTTGTATCATTCATAACCCATATTTCAAAGTTTCTCAACTGCTTTTGCTGTTTCTTCCTCCATCCTCCCAACATCTTCGAGTCCCCCACGGCATGCACCAAATTTATCAGCAACACCTCTTCTGTTTCCTAACTGCTCAGTTCCTACAGAGCATGTTTTCCTACTGGAAAAGTTTCTTATTCCTGTACTTCCTTTCATCTGCCATTGGAATGACATTTAGAGCAGTGTTTGCAATGGAAGCTGGTGTGATAAATCTCATGAAATCACAGCATGGATTCTCAGTTGTTCCACCAGCATTTAAATATATGTTGTAAGAAAAGGGATTTGCGGCTTGGCTTTTGTCAGGTTTTCTTAAAGCAGAAATGCTTTGAATGATTAATTTCCCTTGTAAAACCCGAGTAGGAGTTGTTTAAAAGGCTCAGTTAAAAAATAAAACACCTTCTGGTGGATTCTTGTTTTATGCACAGGAATTTAGCACAGGTTTTAGCCTTTTGTTCTACACTCTGGTTGAGTGTTTTGGAAAGATCAGCACTAGTTTAAATTCCCTTGGCCCTTTAAAAAAATAATAAGTGTGTGTAACATGTTCCTCATCACTCACAGAGAGAGGTGGGGGAGATCCCATTATACCCTTCCTCTCTCTGTCATCTGTCATACAGATTTTTGGGACTGTCTTTGCATTTAGCCAGTGTGGTACATTGAAAAAAAACTTGAGTTAAAATCTCCACCCAACTACTGAGTTCACTGGTTTTGATCTCGGTTGTCATTGACAGTCAGTGTTTTACATCACAGTGTTGTTATGATGGCAGCCACATATGTGCAGTCCTCACATCTTCAGCAGAGGCCAGGGAATAAATCATAGACTAAAGAGATAACTATAAATAGACTAGCCATCCCCTGCCATGCATTGCTGTGGCCCAGTCTGGTGATGTGGAAAATAAAGTAATGAGAAAGTGTTGGATTTCTAATATATGTAATTTCTTTATGCTTGTGGGTAAACAGTATTTCTTCTTGTTTCTTTGTCAGTGTTGATGTAGAGATTGTCTGGTTTGCCTACTCTGGAAAATGCAACATATAATTATCCTTCTTTAGAGGTCCCTTTCAAATCCATGATACTATATCTGCCATATGTGTGTGTGTGTGCGTATGGAACATATATATATATCTTATCTATATCTATGGCTGGATGGCTCTTTGTTAGAAGGGCTTTGATTATGTTTTCATGCCCTGGTGAAGGATGTTGGACTGGATGGCCTTAAGGCAGCATTTCTCAACCTCGGGGTCAGGACACCTGGGGGTGGTTGTGAGGGGGTGTCAGAAGGGTCGCCAAAGTACACCAGAAAACACAATATGTTCTGTTGGCCATGGGGTTCTGTGTGGGAAGTTTGACCCAATTCTATCATTGGTGGGGTTCAGAATGCTCTTTGTAGGTGAACTATAAATCCCAGTAATTACAACTCCCAAGTGTCAAGGTCTATTTCCCCCAAACTCCATCTGTGTTCATCTTTGGGCATATTGAGTATTTGGGCATATTGAGTATTTGAAGGTCTAGATCCTTCATTATTTGAGTCCACAGTGCTACAACTCCCAAATTCAAGGTCAATGCCCACCAAATCCTTCCAGTATTTTCTGTTGGTCATGGGAGTCCTGTGTGCCAAGTTTGGTTCAATTCAATCATTGGTGGTGTTCAGAATGCTCTTTGATTGTAGATTAACTACCAATCCAAGCAACTACAAATCCCAAATGACCATTATTGAGTAATGGTCACTCCTTGGGTTAATAGGTGTCTTGTGGCCAAATTTGGCGGCAATTCGTCCAGCGGATTTTGAGTTATGTCGTCACTCAAACCAAACAGAGCATCTATATATATGTGTACGACCAACATTTTCACTTTTTTGCACATTGAGTGAATGGACATTAAACTCTACCTCTACTAATTAGATGGAGCAGAATGGTCATGTAGATGGAAACAATTAAAGCAATTCATGAAAAGCTATTAAAACCCACTCATTGTGAAAGGACTATTCAGAACAACAGTGGGTTATGTATATGCATGCAAGCTAATGTAGGCTTGCAATATATTACAGTTTATCTGGGAAAATGGATCACATGGAAGACCTCATAACTATGAATTGTTCAGCTCCACTATAAAAAAAAGCATTGTATTTCAACCAATAAACAATCAATTCCATGAAACACAATAATATGTTTTGGCAAATGAATTAACTATTCCAGATCTGGCCAATGTAGCAGAGGTTGCTTGGAACATGGCAGTGCTACTCAAAGTGGTTTTCTCTGGGATGGTGTTGGCCCCCAAACTATTGATTCACAGTCCCTGGAGAGAAGGAAACAGCTGTAGCAAGTGGGCACAAACATGGTAACAATTCCAAATACACAAGGGAAAAAATAATTTCTAGTTTCCTAGATCTGGTAGCCTGGGAAGTGCTGCTTTAGAGGAAGAGAGCTATCAGAGATCTGCTGCTGCTGCCCTCTACACATCACTGACTTCTTTTGCTTGAAGCAAATGCCTCATGCTGCAAATGGCTAGGCCTAAATTTATCCACAGTCATCTTCTTTACCATGCCATTTTTCCTGACAGCTTAGAGGCCATTACTTGGGATTTCCTTCCGTTGCTTTCTCTTGAGGTCAAAAACAAAATAGCTTGTCTTCTTTGCTATGAAGAAACCACCCAACAAGCAGGTGGTACACGAAACTCAAGTGCTAGAAATGTAACCATATGCCTGACATTTACTTTTTGTACATGTGGTTTTTGTTCAATCCTCATTATTGTTTTCTGTGTTTTGTTTTTCAGGGTGCGTTTAGTAGAAAGAGGATCGCCACATAGTTTGCCTCTCATGGAATCAGGAAAGGTAAATTAAAATTGTTGGTATCTTGAATAAATATCATGTAATATCCCAGTGGTGAAGCAGGCATTACAGAACAAAGAAAGACAATATTTTAGAGTGAGAATGCAATTGGGGGAATGTTCCTTTGCCATGCTCAGGTGTGTGTTGGACCTGTGTAACCCACTCCATATGAGATGTGAGTTCAAAGCCATGACTGTTTCTGCTATCATGGTGACAGCAATAGTGTTCTCATGGCATGGCATACTTTAGAGCAGTGGTTCGCAACCAGTGGGTCACCAGATGTTTTGGCCTTCAACTCCCAGAAATCCTGATAGCTGGTAAATTGGCTGGAATTTCTCGGAGTTGTAGGCCAAAACATCTGGGGACCCACAAGTTGAGAACCACTGCTTTAGAAAGATAGCTGTGTAAAGTATGTTTCAGTATAGAAAGAAGGAAGGAGTCAACCAACTTATTTCCTCATATATTTTAATGGAGTGCATCCAATCAAGTGCAAGTCAGTCAGTGCATCCAATCCATGTGGACTGCAGTTCAGTCTATAATATATTTCAGCATAGGTCTTCATGGAGGGATTTCAACACTGTTTACATACTCAAACCACTATACCATTCTATTACTAAGGATACTACTAGAGTTTCCCTATGATTTGCCTCAGAGTGTGATGGAAGCTTCTTCCTTGGAATCTTTTAAATAGAGGCTGGATGGCCTTCTGTCAGATATACTTTGATTGTGCTTTTCCTGCATGCCAGGGGGTTGGACTGGATGGCCCATGTGGTCTCTTCCAACTCTATTTTTCCATGATCCTATGATTGTATTATTTGATGCTTATTTCCTTGGACTCAAGCAAAAAAGAACTGATGACTTATGATTCCTCAGTGAATTTCTGATTCATAATCAGAAGTTTACAGGGCTTAGCTACTCCCACCTCATTTCCCTCCAAGAAACATCACCAACCTCTTCCTTTATTAAATCCTTCTATAAGAATCTCTTGAAGAGCCTCAGGGCACAAGAAGGAAGTTCTATGGTTGCATAAAACAATGTGCACATCATCCGGCTCCTGACCAAAAGTGACTAATTTTGTCTTCAATAGATCCTCCCTGGTGTTCGTATCATTATTGCCAATCCAGAAACAAAGGGACCCCTGGGAGACTCTCATCTTGGAGAGGTGAGTCAGAAGCTGTGCCTCGGTTGGTACTTGAATTGCACGACTTGGTTAAAAGCAGCCTTCCTTCCCTCACAATTGTCCTTAATAAGCATGTGGCAAACAGCCTACTTGAGCAGGTATACACCACACAGCTTTATGCAAGTGTGTGAAATTAATAGCAGGCCAGTTGCAAATTACTGTGGTTTGTCACAGATGAAGACTGAGAACATCATTCCTAGGATTCTTTTTTGGTTTTTTTTGTTTAAGTTTGCTGGTTTCTTCATTGAGAATACTCACAGTTTGTTGGCATTTGGTTTCCAAGTTGGTACATGTGCATGATAGTAAAGATAGTAAGGTATTTCCCAGAGTAAAAAAAACATTGATTGTACAGACTTAAGTATCCCCCTTCTGCAGTGCTTGGATTTAAGATACTTTTTATTCTGGAATAACTAGATTTGCATATATGTATATACCGAGATCTCTTAGAAAAGGGACCCAAGTCTAAACACAAAATTCTTTTATATTTTATACTAGATTTGTAGTGATTTGTGCACAAAGCAAAGTCTGTACATCTAAACAGCAGAAAGCAAATGTGTCAGTATCTCACTTTCCAGATAGACCAGTGGCTCTAGATCAGGGCCACTGGTCAGGGTCAACCTTGCTCAGGGTCAACCTAAGTCTGAAACAACTTGAAGACATGCAACAACAACAATCCTATCTCATCAGCTCAGGGTCAACGTAAGTCTGAAACAACTTGAAGACACACAACAACAACAATCCTATCTCATCATCCAAAAGCAGGCCCACACTTCCCATTGAAATACTAATAAGTTTATATTTGTTAAAACTGTTTTTCATTTTAATTATTGTATTGTTTTTAAGTGTTTTTGCACTACAGATTAAATATGTGCAGTGTGCATAGGAATTCATTTATGGTTGTGTTTTTTTTTCAAATTATAATCCGACCCTCCAACAGTGACCTGGCCCTCTGTTTAAAAAGCTTGAGGGCCCCTGCTCTAGAGTATTAAATATGGTTTTCTGTGGGTGAGCAGATGGCAACTACTGGATGGCATATGTTCTGAATCAGAAACTAGAGCTGTTGTGGTGTCCAATTTATTTTCTGAATCAGCATTCTAAATAACCACACTGAATCTAAAGTTGACCAAAAACTGATTTGTAACCCTTTTGTTACTCATGGTGGTCAAAGTGATCCCTGGTCAAGTGGACCCTAGTAAAAAAAAGGTTGGGAACCACTGAGGTAGATAATTTCGGGTTTTGAATTTTGGAATTCCAGCGAAGGGGCGCTCAACCTGTATTCATCACTTTGAAGGATTCTGTTGTGTTTAAAATGAAAGTTTTGAAGCAAAGCATTGCCAGTAATTTTTAATTAATGGAAACAAATATTATTCTCCCAACTACCACCAGATATGGGTTCATAGTGCTCATAATGCAAGTGGCTACTTCACTATCTATGGAGATGAGTCCTTACAGTCAGATCATTTTAACTCAAGACTTAGTTTTGGAGACACACAAACCATCTGGGCACGGACTGGCTACTTGGGATTCCTCAGAAGAACAGAACTTACAGATGCAAATGGGGGTAAGTGCTATTATTATTATTTGAATGTTTGCATGCTGAGAAATGCAAATTAATTTATTAATTGGAGTGATTAGAAAACTTGAGAAAACTGTTTTTATGTCTGCTTTTGTTTTTAATTTCTTGTCACTGATAATCTAGTTTTGTTAAATCTGCTTCATTATGTCGACCATCTTGAAGCCATTATAAGAGGAATGGAAATACAGTGGGTAGAATTACAAAGCTAATTTTCATGTGGTCTATCATGTGGTGTGGATGTACTTGAGTTTACAAAGGGGACATGATTCACTGCTTCACAGAATGATTTTTTTTCTTTTTTCTTTTCTCCTGCTTTCTTGAAACCAGAGCGGCATGATGCACTTTATGTAGTAGGTGCACTAGATGAAGCCATGGAATTGCGAGGAATGAGGTATCACCCTATAGATATCGAGACATCTGTAATTAGAGCACATAAAAGCATTACAGAATGGTAAGTACTCTGCTGTGCTCCCAAAACGTAAACATGACACTGCTCTCTTAGACTGCAGTCTTGGGCTTGCTGAGACGGCATCATAGGTGGGTTCAAGTAAATGCAGATATCTCCCTCTGGTATAAGGGACAGAGTTGTGAATCCTGAAGGGGGAGATTCAATCGTGGTCATGTACGCATGTCCCCACAGATCTTTCCATGATTCCCACCTCTTAGGCCAATAGTGGGATTTGCATAAATAATTTCCACTTCGTCTTGAATGAAGCAATAGAGCAAGAGGTGGGGGGGGGGGGAGAGAGAGACTCAAAGCCTCTCCTTACTTGTAGAGCATCAGCAAAAGCTCATTGTGCTGGGTTGGATTTAGATTTAAGCATACAGTTGCCCCTCTACATCCATGGATTCTGCATCCGTAGATTCAACCATCCAATGCTTGAAAATATTTTTTAAAATCCAAAAAGCAAACCTTGATATTATTAAATTTTTTGCCATTTAGGAACACCATTTTACTATGCCATCATATATAATAGGGCTTGAGTATCATTAGGTATCATTTCATTAGGGCTCATCTAAATAGTGTCAAGATTATAGTCAACTTGTATTAGGAAATCAGTTGTGCAAATGTAATTCTGCATATGTTATTAAGCAATCTTTCCAAAATCGTGCAAGTGATTTTAAAAAACCCAGAAAATCTCCAGTATAATGACGGCCAAATTCTGTGATAAAATATGTAATTTACCTGGACACATATATAAACACAAGGAAAAGAAAGTAAGGGGGCACATCTAAGCAGTTCACAAGAGATTTCACTTGACAGTATCTATGTCCCTGCACTTTAGTTTGACCCACCTCATCAATTTTAACACTTTGTCGCAAAGGTATTCTCTCTAGAGTGGCACACTTGAATTTTTGCACTTTCCCTCGGATTCACTGAACGATTGACTGCAGTACTTGAGCCTAGACCCAGCCCGACTCTGTTCTGAGCCATGATATCATTTCAGTGTTATTGTTGTGATTATGTTGAATTTTTATTTGATTTATTTTAATGCTGGGTTGTTGTAGGTTATAGCCCAAAAACACCTACAACAACCCAGTGATTCCGACCATGAAAGCCTTCGACAATACTATTTTAATGCTGTTGTTTTATCTGCGATTTTTGGACTTGTCCCCATGTAAGCTGCCCTGAGTCCCCTTGGGGAGATAGTGATGGGGTATACAAATAAAATAATTATAATAATTATAATTATAATTATATATTAATAGTTTTGCCTTTGTATGCAGTTCCTGAAAATGTAACATGTTATTTTCATTAAATGGGTGTTTTGTATCACCCATGCACAGATAGAAGCATATAGACCAGGGGTTCTCAAACTAAGGCCCAAAAATCGGATATGGCCCTCCAAGGTCATTTACCCAGCCCTGGCCTAGGATCAATCTAAGTCTGAAATGACTTGAAAGCGCACAACAACAACAACAGCAATCCTATCTCATCAGCCAAAAGCAGGCTCACACTTCCCATTGAAATACTAATAAGTTTATATTTCTTAAAATTGTTCTTCATTTTAATTATTGTATTTTTATTTTATTGTTTTGCACTTCAAATAAGATATGTGCAGTGTGCATAGGAATTTGTGTTTTTTTTAAATTATAATCCGGCCTTCCAACAGTTTAAGGGACTGTGACCTGGCCCTCTGTTTAAAAAGTTTGAGGACCCCTGATATAGACACACTCTTAAGAACATATTGCTGTATTTATGATGGATATATTATCCAATTCTAACAGAATCATAAAATATTCTGTAACAGCGTTCTTTCACCCTGGTGCCTTCCAGATGTGTTGGACTATACTTCCCACCAGTGCAGCGGTATAGTTCAGCACCTGAAAGAACCATTCATTTATTAATGTATAAGCATTTGTGATCTGTTTTATGAAGTGTGGTTTTCATTTCATACATACATATAGTCAGATGGGTGTAGATAAAATATATTAATGCGTTACTGTCCAAAGTCTGTGATACTAAAAATGAACTGGTTTAATTTATTGCACCACCATCTTCCTCCAAGAAAATGATCTTACATTCCAGAATAAGATTCTTTGAAAATAGTGGAAGTAGTCGTAGCAAATTTCCATGGATCTTCTCAAAGCATGTATGTTACATGGAAAGGAACAGCATCAACAGTCTTGAGATGGCAAAGAGCAATCAAGAGCTCTATGTTGCAAACAAATAGGTTTGAAAAATATTTTAGGTTGAAACTGGTGAATCATATGCCCAATTCTGATACACATTTCTTCCTTGCCTTTCAGTGCGGTGTTCACCTGGACAAATTTGTTGGTCGTTGTTGTGGAGCTGGATGGATCAGAACAAGAAGCCTTAGACCTGGTTCCTCTGGTCACCAACGTAGTCCTGGAGGAGCATTACCTGATTGTAGGGGTGGTGGTGGTAGTGGACGTTGGTGTAATCCCTATCAACTCCCGTGGAGAGAAACAACGTATGCACCTACGAGATGGATTTTTGGCAGACCAACTAGATCCCATCTATGTGGCCTACAACATGTAGTCTTGTATCTTTCAGGCTTCTATGGACATTACTTTAGATGTATAAAACATTTTTGACATACACTAAACAGTGTGCTGATAAGAAAGGGACGCTCTTCAGATTGGAACTGTTTCTATTGGGACTCACAGAAGCGCTCATTATTAGCAGGACAAAAAAATGTGAAATGTGTTTCTTTTACCACTACATTTTAGCACAGAAGGACTTTGGGGTACTGCCTTCAGTTTGTTGGAAAGCCCATTATTAGACTTTTTAAAAAAGATTATTTTTTGCTTATTGGGATGATACTGCTTTCTAAGTAATATGGCTTTGTATTTTATGTTAAACTTTTTTTTTAATCTGCCCTCCAAGTGGATATTTTTGAACCGCTCATAATATGATTGAATTGTTTCGGTTTGCTTGTTTTTAAATGTCCATAAAAATCTTTTCCAATATGGATCCATTACTAATTTTAAGCCATTTTCTATTCCATTGTCTTAGGAAATGACATTGAGGTACGAGGAAAATACCCAAAACAGCACCTTCTTAAATTAGAGTTTTTAACAGCTTTCTCTCCTGGAAATGCTGAAAATTCAAAGGTGGAAAGAGCCTTTGGTTATTAGTGTTAGAATGAACAGAAATTTATAAATAAGGTGTATTTCGGCAATGAACTTGCAGATATCTTTGTACTAAACTAAAAAGATAAAATAAGTTAACTACGTCTGTAATTATGTACAAAATCTTTAATTTATTTTGATCTCTTTAGAAGTATAAAAGAGAAACATTCAAGAATATTAAGCTCTTGTAATGTTTGCTAATATAAAAAAAACAAAAGGGGTTGTATTATCTTGAGTGGATAGTATCACATCAAATATATATATATGAAATATAAATTCACTAATGACAAAAAGAAAAAAAGATTTTAAAGTTTTAAAAAAGGATGCAGTACTCATCACTTGCATGGTGTCTCTTTTCCCACTGTAGATAAGCAAACATTGTTCACAGATTTTGAGAGAGAGAAAGAGAGAGGAAAAAAAGCAGTCCTGGATTCCTAAGTATCCCTGTCTAAAAAAGAATCTTCCAAATATCAGCAAGTGACACCATTATTCTGCCTGCAAGGCCGTGAGTGAGTTTGTAAGGTCGCAGTCCTGCCTCCCTGCCTGTGCAGAGTACAGGAGTTGAAGTGGTTCCCATAGAGTGCCAAGACCAAGATCTCCTTTACCACCAGCTGCCATCAGGTCCAGGTGCTTTTCCAAGCTTGCTGTTTTTCAGCAAGGCAACTGGGTTTTCCCCACAGCCTTCTCATACTTACGCCTTGACATCCCAGTCCCTGCTCTTCATTTGTTTGTGGCTCTGCTCTTTCTGCTGTCTGCCTCTTCTCTAGAACACTGCTTCTTAAACTGTAGGTACCATCCCCAAGTGGGGTCCCCTTAGCTCTGTGTTTTTATTTATTTACTATATTTATACTCTGCCCTTCTCACCCTGAAGGGGACTCAGAGCAGCTTACAGATTGGCAACAATTCAATGCCATTGGGGTCCCAAAAATTTGGCAACAGTAAAAAGTTTCTGACCATCACCTATTGGCTGTTTTATGATATTATCACTCTCCACTGTTAAAGAGTTGTTATCCCACTTCAAATTCTATGGCTGTCTCCTGTAGAATTCTGGGATTTGCAGTTTCGAGTGGGGCGTTTAAAATTCTCAGCCAGAGAAGTCCTGGGCCTCACTAAACAACAAACCCCAGAACTTTACAAGGAGGCAACCACAGGATATAAAGTGGGTTAGCAACTCCTTAAAGTGTAGTATGCTAATCCCCCTAGACATTACACAAATCTATTAGCAACAACATGCAATGTTTCCAGTAGAATTTGGGGAAAATGCTTCAGATGTACATCATAAAAAAGAAAAATAAGCCTGTTTAACAAGCATTGCAAATGGTGATTTATTATCAGTAAATGTTTGATTTGTGTACCTATTTTATATATTTATATACCCGAGGTTGTATAAACATTTCTTGGGTGTAAAGCAGTCATGAGTGGAAAAGGTTTAAGGAGCCCTGCTTTAGAAGTTGAGATAGCAGCAGAAACAGTACTGAGTGGATGGCATGAAAGGGACTTTTTCTGCTGCAGTGGGAACAGCTTTGGCCAGTTTGCTTGGAAGAGCAGCTGCACCTCCTGGTATGGGCACCACTGGTGGGGTCTGGCACATAAGGCCCTATGGGAGTCATTCCACGCCCTGCTTTCTATGCACCCAACAATGTAGGATTTGCTTTGCGGCCAAAGACTTTTAACAGTGCACTAAGAAGGATTCTTTTATTATTATTATTGTGAAGACGACAGTAAATATCTGTGCTGGCATGTATGTTCATACACTTCTTAGACGTTAGAAAAGACAGGTTTTGAAGAATAGCACTGTTTTTCTTAGCTGCATAATATTGTTGCACAATATTTGTCATATTTTTTAAGTTGGTGTTTTGTTTTTGTTGTTATTTTTTATTTCTTGTGGTAAGGACATTTTGTTTGCTTGTTTCGGTGGTCATTTTGCACAAGAATTTTCATTTTTTTAAAAAAAAAATCAGATTTGCCTCTCCGCTGGCTCCCATTGTGTTTCGTTTGGGCAAGGGACCGTAGGGGCACTTCACACTTTGTAGAAAGTTATTGCTCTTAAACAAGTCTCTCTTATAGCACATTTGTTATTGGAGAGTAGCCTAAAAGCCGCTCTAAATTATTTGGCCCCCATTGGGTGCAACTGCTAACACGTCCTTAATGCCAAACAGGGGAACTGAAATGGATGATGCGAGTAATCCCATCCCTCAGTTCCAAAAGGAATCTGCCGACAGAAGAACAGAAAAAAAATGCATGGATCACAGCTGCCTTTTGTATGTGTGTATGTGTTTTGAATTTTATTCTCTCTAGTTAAACTGGATCTTCAGTGACTAGTTCCTTTGTTGTCTTCCCTTTTTTAAAGCTTATTTTTGGGTTATCCCAATGTTAACCTAGTTGACCTGTGTCTGATCCCAAGGTGAAATTGAAACAGCAGTCCAAGAATTATTTATTTTAATAGTTTAAATACGAACTTGCTGGTGTTCATTACAGATATGCATGACTAAGACAGTTGCGGGACAAAAGCGACACGATCTTTGTATAACCACGTATAAGGGAAATATTTTTGGCTACTATTGGAAACTTCACAGGCCCAAATTGGTTTTAGTTTTTGTCATTTTTAAGACGGGATGATGGGTGGGCTTTCTTAAAGATAAGGGATGGTTTTTAGTCTGCATGTGGAAGACAGAGCATCTCAACACCGCAAACTCCTTTGGGATTATTTTTTTTAGCATTTTCTATCGCCTCTTTCCCAAATTTCTTTTGCCCTGTGAATATTTCTACTTGTGCTCAAAAGACCAATTCTGAAGCATTCTGTCTTGAGTTTTTTCCCCCCTTGCTGGTTTTTGTTTGTTTGTTTGTATGTTTGTTCCCTACGACAAAACTTCTCTTTTTTCCCCTTTAAAATGTCAAGTTGCTCTTAAGGTTTAGACAAGCCGTTGATTGACTATGAGCATAATTACAGTGTATGAACTAACTTGTGATGTCCTTGCTATTGCTGATCTCAGTGCTGCAAAACACAAATTTAGCTGTCATTTTGTTAAAGCATCACTTTTAACCTTCACCAAGTCAACTTTCCACTCCTGAGGGAGGCGACAAAGGACTGCAGTGCAGTCGTACGACGCGGTTATTAACGGATCTCATCTGCAACCTGCCATCTTGGGTTGCGTAAAATCCCCAAAACTTGCGATGGTAAACGATGATTTTGAAGAACCCGAATTCCAAGTTTTGTTGTGCAAGTAGAGAGGAAAGAAACACATATATACCATCAGATTCAGCAATAAAGAAGGATTGTTCTGTATTAGAAACTGTACTGTAGATAAACCATTCATGAGAATGTATAAAAAATGTTTGTCTTGTGACCTTGTGCTTTTGAAGTCAGACAAAACCATGTAATCAACCTGATGCACATGCACACCTAAAAAAGAAAGAAAGAAAGAACGAAAAAGAAGGAGGAGGATACACAATGAACATTTAAACACAAACTAATCAAACAGGAGCAGATTCCTCATGGTGCTTGTTTATTATATATATTTAATCCTGCTTGACACTTTACCCAAGGGAAAACTGTCCCTTTTATCAGTTGAATGTTAGCAGCGTTATTTCATAGAGTGTGGTGACTGGTTAGAGAAATTCATGTAACTCAGCCAATCACAGTTTCAAATGAAAATTTTTATGTGCAAACAAACAGCAACCTTCTTGTATGTTAAACCACCAGTACGCTTTGTACATCTGTGATAACGCCTGTTTTATATTCAAATGAACAAATAAAAGCTTTTATTTTTGTTGCTCTGAAAATACTCAAGTTTTTTTCTTAATTAGCTATAACAGGTTTCCTTTTGGGGACTGTTTTTTCAGACCCACAGCACAAGAAGATTAATTATTTTTGTTGCTTTGTCTTGTTTCATGTTTTATGGAGTTCTGATTGTTGTTTCCGACTCTTCATGACCTCATGGACCAGCCCACGCCAGAGCTCCCTGTCCGCTGTCGCCATCCCCAGCTCCTTCCATCCATCTTGCCCTTGGTCAGCCCCTCTTCCTTTTTCCTTCCATTTTTCCTAACATCATTGTCTTCTCCAAGCTTTCCTGACTTCTCATTATATGTCCAAAGTACTTCATCTTTGCCTCTAATATCGTTCCCTCCAATGAGCAGTCGGGCTTTATTTCCTGCAGTACAGACTGGTTTGATCTTCTCAGGGTCCAAGGCGCTCTCCGATTTTTTTTCTCCAACACCACAGTTCAAAAGTGTCAATCTTCCTTCGCTCAGCCTTCCTTATGGTCCAGCTCTTGAACCCATAGGTTACTATGGGGAATACAATTGCTTTAACTATGTGGATCTTTGTTGTCAGGGTGATGTCTCTACTCTTCGCTGTTTTATCGAGATTGGTCATTACTCTCCTCCCAAGAAGTAAATGTCTTCTGATTTCCTGGCTACCGTCTGCGTCTGCAGTAATCTTCACACCTAGAAATACAAAGTCACTACCTCCATATTTTTTCTCTCTATTTGCCAGTTATCAATCCGTCTGTTTGCCATGATCTTGGTTTTTTTTGATGTTTCACTGCAACCCAGCTTTTGCACTTTCTTCTTTCACTTTGGTTATCAGGCTCCTCAGCTCCCCCTTGCTTTCAGCCATCAAAGCGGTATCATCTGCATATCTAAGGTTGTTACTGTTTTGTCCAGCAATTTTAACAGGACCTAAGTTTAACTTAGTTCTGGACCTAAGTCATAACACCTTGTATTC